CATTGATTTATGATCAGTGTTTTTCTCCCCCAAGGCATGTAAGTTCTTGAGAATAGAGCATCTCGTTCAACTTTCTATCTGGCACCTGTGTGCTCATAAGACTTTCAATAAGTGTTCACTGAATAAATGTGTGATACAGAAAAATAATACATTATTAGTTATTTTCAATCCCATCCTTCCTGTATCTTCTGAAGAACAAGGATCCCCAGGAGCACGTTGGGTTTTGCTTAGCAGAGTGATTGCTGGGATGCAAGTGATGGAAGCCAAAGGAGAAAGACCAAGTTTCTTTTTGTGAGAAAAATGTACAGAGAGACCTCCTGGAGATGGAGGGTGTTCCCCACCATCATGGAGAAGAAATGTTGGATGGGAAATGGGGTTGTTTGAGAGAAAGACATATGGCAGCTCACATGGGATGTAGAACTTAGGAGACACAGGTGTTTTAAAGTGTTGCACAGAGTAATTCCATTTTCCGCATCCACATGAACTTTAGTAACAGTTGCCATGACTTGTCCATGTTTTTATTTTTTACTGCTTTACTTTTTTTTATTTATTTACTAGAAGCCTGGTGCATGAAATTCATGCACTGGGAAGGGTGTCCCTCAGCCCAGCCTGCCACCCTCTCCAATCTGGGACTGCTGGCTCCCAACCACTAGCCTGCCTGTCTGCCTGATTGCCCCTAACCGCTTCTGCCTGCCAACCTGATCACCCCCTACCCACTCCCTTGCCAGCCTGATTGCCCCTAACTGCCTTCCCCTGCCAGCCTGGTCATCCCTACTTGCCCTCCCCGGCCAGTCTGGTCACCCCTAACTGCCCTGCTGGCCTGATAACCCCTAACTGCCCTCCCTTGCCAGACTGGTTGCCCCTAACTGCCCTCTCCTGTAGGCCTGGTCACCCCCAACTGTGCTTCCCTGCTGGCCCGGTCACCCCTAAGTTCCCTCCCCTGCCAGCCTGGTCACCCCTAACTGCCCTCCTGTGCAGGTCTGATTGCCCCTAACCACCCTCCCTTTTAGGTTTGGTCCCTCCCAACTGCCATCCCCTGCTGGCCTAATCACCCACAACTGCCCTTCTCTGTCGGCCATCTTGTGGCAGCCATCTTGTGTCCGTCCACATGGGGGCAGCCATCTTTGACCATATGGGGATGACCATCTTGTGTTGGAGAGACAGTCAATTTGCATATTGCTCTTTTATTATATAGGACTTTTAATCCTCACTTGAGGATAATTTTCCATTGATTGTTAGAAGGTATGGAAGAGAGAAGGAAAGACAGAGAGAAACATCAACGTGAGAGAAATGCACTGATTGGTTGCATCATGCCTGCACTTGGACCAGGGTCCTGGGCTGGGGAGGAGGCTGCAACTGAGGTACATAACCTTGACTGGAATCAAACCCAGAACCCGTCAGTCTCCAGAATGACACTCTATCCACTGGGTCAAACCAGCTAGGGCTGTCTATGTTTTCAGAGAATCATTTAAGCTTGTGTTTCCTCTAGGGGGATGAAATCCATGTCTCAGACACAAGGAATATGAGCCAAGGTTATCTGACCTCAACTCCATGGAGGGCAAGAGGGGAAAATCTCCAGACTTGGGGTCAGACAACCTGGGATCAGATCTCGACATTTTCATTTACACTTACAAATTTAAGTAACTTGCAAAAACTCTCTAAGCTTGCACGTCTTTAGCTATAAAATAGGCATGGTATTATCTAACCCACAGGATAGTTTTAAGGATAAAATGGGCTAACAGATGTAAAAGTTCCAAGACCATGCTTGGTTCCAAGACCAAAAAGTTGAATCTGTGTAATTATTGTACATCCTTCTTCCATCTGGTCCAGTCTCCAAAAGAAGTTACTTTCAAATAAATGCAACCAAACAGCCAAGAATAATAAAGAAGGGATGCTAAACTTCTCTTGGAAAACATTAGGGTGTCCAACTCATACTCTTAGCAAACCTTCTCACAAGCCCTTTCCTAGTCTTCTCATACCTCACAATTCTATAAATCCTCTTACTTAGCTATATGCCTCTCACCTCACAGAATACCTTTACCAATGTTCCTTAGATTATTTTTTCTCTTATCCTCATCATGTAGATCAAGAAGACCAAGGCCTTCCTTTCTCTCCTGGTCGCTTTTTCTTCCCATTGTTTTCATCATGAAAATCCAGGAACATAAACAATAGAACTTTATTTCCCACAGTTCTGCAGGCTGGACATCCAAGGTCAGGTTCTGGTGAAGGCTCTCTTCCTGGTTGCAGACTGCTGGCTTCTCCCCATGTCCTCACATGACCAGGAAACTCTCTCAGACCTCTTTTGTTATGAGGGCCTGAATCTTATTCATGAGACTGGTGGTTGACCGAATTCTTCCCAAAGGCCTAATACCATCACATGGAGAATTAGAACTTCAACATATTAATATTGGGGGGAGGGGACACAAACATTCAGACCATACCACCATGGAATGTGAACAAAAGAGTAAGTACAGAAAGAAAGCATTTCTTTTTTCTTTCTTTTTTCTTTCTTTCTTTCTTTCTTTCTTTCTTTCTTTCTTTCTTTTTTTTTTTTTTTTTTAAAGAGGAAAGGCCGGGAGCACTTCCATTTAAATAATGCTTTACTTGGTCATCTTTGTAAAGAGACCAATTGAACTCCAGCCACAGAACAAGACTTGCAGCCAGAAGTTCAGAAGTCCTGGGCATCTGACACCATAGGAGCAGAGCTGCTACTTTCTGATTGGTTGGTGACAGCCAGAGAACTAGGTTCCAAGTGCCTCCTAGTGTGGTGAGCATCCTGTCCAGGAACTCTGTGTCCCTCTGAGTGGAGCAGGTGTTCTCCCTAGAGTTTCCTCCGAGTTGGCATCTGGCATCTGTTGTTGTTGTTGATGTTTTTAAATATATTTTATTATTTTTTTACAGGGAGGAAAGGAGAGTGATGGGAGAGTTAGAAACATCGATGAGAGAGAAACATGGATTCAGCTGCCCTTTGCACACCTCCCACTGGGGATGTTCCTGCAGCCAAGGTACATGCCCTTGACTGGAATCGAACCTGGGACCCCCTAGTCCACAGACCGACGCTCTACCCACTGAGCCAAACTGGTTAGGGCAGTCGTTGTTTTTTAAACCCTTCTTATTTTATCTCATACCATTCATTTTAATCTATTTTTATTAGTTATTTTCCTTGTAACTTTTCCCTCCCTCATCAATTCATTTTGCCTGACAGAGCAGATTCATGAGCTTTCAACCCATGCTCATTTTTTTGACTCGATGTAGAAAAAATAATGTGTTCTTCTTCGTTTGTTGGTGTGCTGTTGTTGTTTTTTAAAAGAAATATACCACTTTAAAACTTAGGGGTAGGCAGTTAGGTGTACTGAATATATTTGGGGGCTTAAACCTAGACAAAGATGGGTATAAATTCTAGTTTTGCCTTTCAGAAGTTTCTAAACCTCTCAGCTTTATATGTGAAATGAGTAAGGTAATGCCTGTCTCCTGGAGTTCTAGGGGAAATTAATGAGATAATCCTGGTAACACCCTTCTAGATAAGGCCATTTAAAAGGTATTAAAGGAAAGGAAATTGGAATTTTGAGTGAAAAAATTCCCTACTTTTCAATGCTCCGCTGCACACATAGTAAACACTCCTAAAGGGCTTGCCTTATGTCCCCTTGAGAGTCTCCAGTTTAGGGTTTGGGGGCAAGTGTGTGAACAGGCTACCTAGAGGGGAGCACACCTAAATTCCAGGAAAAAGAAAGGGTCAGTAAATCATCCATTGCTCACTTTCCTTTGAACCTCTCTCTTCCAGCAAGCCTTCTGAGTTTAGGTTCAGCAACAGGACCCTGATTCAAGTCCATTTTTTTTTTTTTTAAATATATTTTATTGATTTTTTACAGAGAGGAAGAGAGAGGGATAGAGAGTTAGAAACATCGACAAGAGAGAGTCATTGATCGGCTGCCTCTTGCACACCCCCTACTGGGGATGTGTCCCCAACCAAGGTACATGCCCTTGACCAGAATCAAACCTGGGACCCTTCAGTCCGCAGGCCAACACTCTATCCACTGAGCCAAACCGACTTTGGCAAGTCCACTTTTGTTTTATTTGGAAACTGCTTGGATTAAAAAAAAAAAAAATTGTTGGAGGGTGGATAAGAGATCCACCAGAGGACTTGTAAGCATGCATATAAGCACAGCCAATACACACAAGACACTGAGGGGGAGTTGAGGGGGGAGGGTAGTGAGGGCAAATGGTGGGGGGAGGTCAATGGAGGGGGGAAAAGGAGACACATGTACTTACTATTTGTAATACCTTAAACAATAAAATAAAAATAACAAAAAATAAAAAGTAAATTTTAAAAACTAAATAAAATAAAAAATAATTGGAAGACAACATGAAAGGGTCCTGCAGAGGATACCCTTGTTTTGTTTGTGGTTCTCATGGAATCTGAGTAAGACCATTTTAAGCTCCTCACAGGACAGACAAGGAAAGTTTTTGTTTGTTTCTTTGCCCCAGAGTCTAGCACCATAGGCTAGGGAAAGCTGACCCTCAAAATGATGAAGGGATAAATGAACGTCAGGATGAAGACACGAATGATGAAAAATGAATTAATGACTCTGAGCCAGGGCTGGAACATCGATGGGGGTCCTTGTTTGTTGCTCCTTTCTTCACAGCTGCTGGTAAGATTCTTGGCCCACCTCCTCCTTTATCACTTCTCTTTCTCTCCCCTCTGCCTCTTCTATTTTCACGGTCTAACAAGACCCCTATACAGAAGTGTGATGCCCTTCCAGCCCCTGCTCCTCCCTCACAGCCCCGGCCCCTCCGCCGCGAGACCCCGCCCCTCCGCCGCGAGGCCCCGCCCCTCCGCCCGGGCTCTGCAGAAATGAATGGCAGCGTTGCCGCCGCGCCGCTCGGGGCGCTGATTGGCCGCCCGGTGCGGTGATGCACGGGCGGCCCGGGAGCACGCAGGTGGGCGGGGCCGACGGGGGAGGAGCCGGACCCCGGGGCGGGGCGCGGAGGCTCAGGGGTGGAGAAGCCGGGAGGCGGGAGGCGGGAGGTGCCGGGCCCGTTTAAGCGGCCTCCCTCCCGCCCCCAGCCGCCCGGTCTGGCCCTGGCTCCATCCCGAACCCCGGCCTGACCCCCTCCTGCCCTGCCCCGCCGAGCGGTCCGCGGTGCACCCGGGCGGCCTCCGGAGCAACCCAAGCCCATGAGGGCCGCGCGCCCGGTCGCCGGCGCTGACGAGACGGAGCTCCCGGCCCGCGAGGGGGAGCGGAGGATCAATGCGGTTCCAGAACCGATTCCAGAGGTGAGAGGGATGGAGCCCCGCGCCCCCACCCGTGCCAGATCCACCTCCTCCCGTGTGGGTCCCGGCGCCCCATCCGGCTCCATCCCTCGGTGGATGGATCCGCCTTGGCCGGGGACCAGCTCCCGGGGATTCCCCGCTCTGCAGCCGCTGGGCGATCCCCTCCCTCCGAGGACCGGGACCCGGTGCCTGACCCGGGTCCCTCCTGGCGATCCGCGGACCTCGGGTTTCCAGATCCCCGGTGCTCATCAGATTTAGCACACCACCCCCCTCCCCCATCCCTATCCAGGCGGGGCACTTGCTTGCTCAGAGACCCGAACCCCAATCGCAGGCCCCGCCCCCGGGTCCACAGACTCTCCCGCTTTGACCGTCACCCCTTTCCCCCCAGCCTGGAGGAAGGAGGGCCCGAGGCTGCAGCTGCGCCCTGCAGCTGGGTCTGTCGGAGAGCTGGGGCGCTGGGCCTTTTTGGTGCTTTGCAAGTGGCCCTGGCAACGGGGGAAACTGAGGCACCCTCCGCTGGTTTAGCTTGTCTGGCCCTGTCCGGGTCTTGGAGGTTCTCAGGCTTCTTTAGCGCGCCCCCTAGTTCCCTCCCGCCCCCCCTCCGGTGGTGCTATTCGGGGCACCGCTAAGGGTCAACTTAGCATCCGGGTGGCGGTAAGGTCTGCTGTTGGGGCGCTCGTGTGAGGGAAGGAGGAAGAGGAGGAACCGGGGCGCGCCACCGGAAGGATGGCAGGCTGCTCATTGACTGGAGAGCTGGTTTGCATGCCAGCCGGCTGACTGGCCAGCCGGGGGAGGCACCGTGGCTTTACGCCGGGCTCTGGGTCCCTGCCATCCAGCCCTGGATGGAGGCTGGGCCATGGTTCCCAGAGGAAGCTCTGGGCTTTTTTTTTTTTTTTTTTTCCCTTTATTCTTCGGCTGTAAGTGGGTGAAAGTTCACCTCCCCTGTGTTTGTGGTAATTCTCCATCTCTTTGTCTGAATCAGGCCTCTCTGTTCCTATTCCCAGACCTCCTCCCCCTAAGCAAGCTGGCTTAGTGTGCAGTGACAGGGGGGGAGGGGGGGGGGATTTGAAAGGAGAAAAGGAAAGGAAGGCATGGAATCTTCCCGAGGAGGTTATTGTGGAGGTGTTAGGCACGAACCTTTTCTTTTCAACATTTTCAGGGCACTTGTTTTATTTCCGATTTTCTAATCCCTCAATGCCCACTCCCCCATTTATGCTGACCTCATCCCCCCCCCCCCCCCCCCCCCCACTCCCCCGCGATGCAAGCCAAAAGCCAAAGTATGCGTAGGAAGCGCTGTGGTGGACTGGGCTATCGGAAGGACTATCAGTTTGAAGACTTGGATCCACTTCTGAATGGCCCTCAGGGTGTGGAATGCCTGGCACCGTTCCCCCAGTGGGAACATCATATCGGGTGCTTGCAAAGGCGAAAAGGAACCATGATGTTCTGGCTTCAGACCCTGACGTCAGGAATGAAGGCTTTTTCGGGGAGAATGTACCCTGGGTTCAGGCATGATGGGTGAAGCCCTGTGCACGGGGTTTGATTTGGTTTTACTTCTGCATGTCTGTGCTCTTCCTGTTTGCAGAGGACAGCAGCAATATTCTGTGAAATTCCCCTTCCTTATTTGATTAAGAGTTTCCTTTCCTATTCTTGGAATTCTACTTTAGAAAGAAAGAAAAAGAGATGGTTTTTATTGTTGGTTGCAGAAACAATTAAAACAATGTTAAGGGACGAAAAAAACAATCCACTGTTTTAGGACTCATCTATCTCACCTGATTGGATTATTTTATTTTTGCTGGACTCTAATCTATCATAGATGTAATGTGATTGTGTGGTCTGCTTTACTCATTTGAAAATGAAATGTACAATCATTTTCTTTTGGTGTGGCCCAGACTTTGTAATTTTCCCAGTGGCTGCACAATATCAGTAACTATTTAAAAGTTATTTTCTTGATTACATCTTGATATACCCTGATTTTTTAAAATTTATTGAGAGAAACATTGATTTATTTCACTTATTTATGCATTCATTGGTTGATTCTTTTTAAAAATATATGTTTTTATTGATTTTTGATTTTTTTTTTTTTTATGGGGAGGAAAGGAGAGGGATAGAGAGTTAGAAACATCAATGAGAGAGAAACAACCAAAGTACATGCCCTTAACTGGAGTCGAACCTGGGACTCTTGAGTTCGCAGGCCGACGCTCTATCCACTGAGCCAAACCAGTTAGGAGTGGCTCATTGGTTGATTCTTGCATGTACCCTGACTGGGGATTGAACACGAAACCTTGATGTATTAGGCCGACACTCTACCAACTGAGCTATCCGACCAAGGGCTGTCCTGATTTTCTTTGAACACTAAGTGGTGTCATCATTTCTTGTTTTTGTATTATAGACTAGATTGAAAAGATATTTCTCAGGGTCAATTTGAATTTAGAAATAAAGCTTGAAAGTAAAAAGTAATATAACAGCCAAAAGCCCTGGCTTTTGTGGTTACACATTGAAATGTTGGGTACTGTTCTCTTAACATGTAAAGCCATGTTTACTTATATATATATATATATCTTTTGCGCATTGAGGGTAGTTACGGTAAATTACAGAGGAACTAGACGCAGGGGTCCTCAAACTTTTTAAAGTGGGGGCCAGATCACGGTCCCTCAGAGAGCTGGAGGGCCGGACTATATGAACTACTAATTCCTACTGTAACACCTCGGCTGCGCTCACTGCCCAAAAAACCTGGTGGGCCGGATCAGACTCCTCTGCAGGCCGCATGTGGCCCAAAGGCCGCAGTTTGTAGTTACTAGAGGCAAGGGTGCCCTGTCTTTGAACGCATGTGCTCCTCCTGATAGATTTATCAGGACTCAATTGAAGAGCATTTGATCTCAGTAAACACATTTCATTTTGGCCATGGCTTGTGGCTCAGCCCAACTTACAAGAAAACCTGAACACCCTGCTGTTTTGTTCATAATGGAAACTTGGCAGTCATTGTAGCTTCGGGTTAGCTTCCAGTGTTCCGCCATTTCTGTGGGGGAGGGCTGGCAGGAAGCTGAGCCCACTGTCCGAAGTGGGGGCTTTCTGCCGCATGGCTTAGGATAGGAAAGGGTATGACATGGAAGGTCCCACTGGGACATGGCATATTTTAATATATTTTATTAAATTTTTATGGAGAGGAAGGAAGAGGGATAGAGAGTTAGAAACATCGATGAGAGAGAAACATGGATCAGCTGCCTCCTGCACACCCCCTATTGGGGATGTGCCCACAACCAAGATACATCCCCTTGACCAGAATCGAACCTGGGACCCTTGAGTCTGCAGGCCGACACTCTATCCACTGAGCCAAACCTGTTTCAGCAGACATGGCATATTTTATCTCTTTTGCTTTATCACTTGTACATTTGAGTCCTCCCCCTCCTACATTCCCCTCCTTGCCCCCCATCATCACAGCATCTCTGACTGATTAGAATAACTGCTAACAGTGAGAGCCAACCTTTGCCAGGTGGCTGGGTATTTGTACAGGGGGTGGGCAAAAGAAGACCTGGAGTTGTGACATTTTTTTTTTTTTAGTTAATAAAGCTATTTGTAATAATCATAACCTGTATGTCTTTTTCCATACAAACAACTCTAAACCCACTTCTGCTCACCCTGTATAGTATCCTCAACTATAACCCTGGAAGGGTTATACTCATTGCCCAGAAGAACAGATGGGGTTCAAGAATAAAAGGGAACTTGGCCTAGTCACACAGCTGGGGAAAGGGCAGATCCAAGGTTCAATTTCTTGTCCCTTTTATCACCCGTGCTGCCAGCTCACCGCGTCTGTCTCACTGCACACACTACATCTATGTGTCCAGCGTAGAGGCCTAGGACCCACAGTAGCTCCTATTGTATCTTATGGGTGCATGCTCCTTTCTCCAGCCTTGCAACCGAAAAGCCAAGGGAAAGGATGGTGCTTTCCTCAGCCCCAGGTCCAGGGACCACTCAAATGGAATACGAGGCAAAACACCACATTCTCAAGCATCAGGAAGTCTTCCAAGATTGCCCATTGCTTTTTTGCCCATGTTCTCAGAGCACTGAATCATAGGCATGGGTAGTATCCTTGTATATGCCTTCTCCCTTATTTTTTTATTTTTAATATATTTTATTGATTTTTTTTACAGAAAGGAAGAGAGAGGGATAGAGAGTTAGAAACATCGATGAGAGAGAATCATCGATCAGCTGCCTCTTGCACACCCGCTACTGGGGATGTGCCTGCAACCAAAGTACATGTCCTTGACTGGAATCGAACCTGGGACCTTTCAGTCAGCAGGCCGATGCTCTATCCACTGAGCCAAACCGGTTTCAGCTGCCTTCTCCCTTATTTAATAATTAAATTACATGTCCCCTGCCACTGCCACCACCTCTGGCAATGCGCTCATTCATAAAGGGGAACTCATAATTTTCTGCAGTCAGAGGTCGGCTCACGTTGCCCCATCAAGGGATGTTGAAGGAGTCCTTGGAATGTCCATGGTCTGGGCCTTTAAGAATTTTCTTTACGTAACATTCAGAGTTCTTTTGGCTCCAAGAGAGTTTGTTTCTCTTCGTTACTTACAGAACCTGCTGCATCCCCAGTGAAACCAGTAACAGTGGGATAATGCTTCACTGATACAATACAGTTCAGCTGCCACGTCTGCCTTTCTATTCATTCATTCAGCACCTGTTTATTAAGCTCCAGCAATAAACTGGGCCTCGTGCTTGGGATTGGAAGTGAAATGGTGGACAAGATGGCCTTTATGGAATTCACATTACAGTGTTGAGAGATGAAATAACAAACATTTGAAAAATCTTGCTAAATGTGATGAGGACTCTGGTGGCGGGGATGGGGGGGTGAAGTGATATTAGTAGTAGTAGTAGTAGTAGTAGTAGTAGTAGCAGTATTATGTTAATCCTCACCTGAGGATTTTTTTCCATTGATTTAAAAAAAAAAAAAAATATATATATATATATATATATATATATATATATATATATATATATATATATATATAAATAATTGATTTCAGAGAGGAAGGGAGGGGGAGAGATAGAGAAACATCCATGATGAGAAAGAATCATTGGTTGGCTGCTTCTTGCATGCCCTGCACTGGGGATTGTGCCCACAACTCGGGCATATGCCCTGGCCAGGAATCAAACTGTGAGCTCCTGGTTCATAGGTCAACCCTCAACCACTGAGTCATGCCAGCTGGGCCCCATTTTTAGGGATATTTTTAGAGAGAGTGGAAGGGAGGGAGACAGAAACATCCAGGTAAGAGAGACACGGATTGATTGCTCAGTGTGTGCGAGTTGATTGGCATTTTACATCATTTGGGTTTTGGGAGTGACTTCTTAAGCAGGCTAGATTGTGCCCTGGCAGATCAGGGAGAAATGGAAGAATGGCGCTGTGCATTTCCCGGCTAAACAACTGTGCTTGCTCTCCATGCCACTGAGCCCCAGACAGTGGTCTTAGCACAGCTTCGACTACCTGTGCCCACTGCCCTATGTTTGCTCTGTTCGTGGCAGAACCTACCTGAGGTCACATGGGTGGGGTATTTTCCTCCACAACTCCCGAGTTTATTTTTACCCTGAGTGGTCCCAGGTGGGCAGGGACTGAGCCGTGACAAACCTGGCCACCCAGCTTCTTCGCTTTTAGCAGAAAATGGGAAAGTCTATCCTGGTTGCTGTGTAACGGTCTATTTTTAGATGGGGCTGCCAGAGATATAAATTGCTATTTTAGTCTGCAGCTACCGGTGGGTAGACAAACCCTGCTTACTGCGCCCTCCATGGAGCTCCCCCAGTTTTACTCTGGCCTCTGCCGTCCACTCTGGAGCCTTGCTCTTGACCCTTTATGGTTCCTCCTGGGGCGTGGGGCTTCCAGCTCTGTTGTTATGTCTCCGGGAAATGATGCGGCAGATCCTTGAATGCTGGGGACACCGAGAAAGCGTTCGCCCCAAGAGTGTCATTATTTTCCTTTTTACAAGTAAGAGCTGGATAGCAACACTCCCGTCCCTTAGGAAATTAGTTAAATTATTTAAAGGATTACCAAGGGAGAAAAGATTTATTTATGTGAGGGCATAGCTTGGATCCATTCTGGAGCTGCTCACTGCATGTTTCTCTTACACGGTTTCCAAGCCATCTGGTGAATTCCATTCCATGAGTATGTCTTTGCACACACGTTAGGTAGCTAACTAAATTCATTCCCCCGTGGATTTTCCCTTTGAACTCTCTGTGGGGTGTCTGGGGACTGCCATTGTATTTTTGTTTAGTTGCTCCGAAGACAATGGCCTCTCCTGATTCAGGGAGAATGTGCCAGTCTTTTGTTCACAAACAGGACAGTGTTTGGAATGGCTTGGCCATGTGTGTTAGCCTATTTTTGGCCACCTGGCTCCGCCCTTCGGTTCAGCCAGGTACCACTTTTCCGTGTATTCATTAATAAAGTGTGACTAGTCAGAGTGCCTAATGGCAAATACCAGTAACCAAGTCCCCCCTCCCCTCCCTGCAAACTAGCTCCAGCACAAAGATAGTGTGTGTGCAACGCCTGCTGACACTTCGCAGGCTCCGAGCACAGGAATGCAGCGGGGCCTGAGGCCTGGAGGCTGCTGGGCTCCTTGACCCCCATCTGCTTCTCCGCATCTCGTTCAGGCAGCTGCTTTATGTTCCTGAGTTTGCATCTCCCCTTTCCCAGAGGACAGGCAGACTAAACCAGAACCCATGGGTGTGGGCGGGGTTTGGGGGACCCTCACCCACACAATGAAGTGGGAGAATGCTGTGGATCTCTCCAGGTTCTGCCGTGGTCATGCCTGTCACTGCGTTGGTGCTTGCCACAAAGTTAGTCCCAGGGAAGTGTGGGGTATGGGTCTGTGTGGCACAGGTTGTGATATGTAGGTATGTCCGTGAGTGTGTGTGTGTGTGTGTGTGTGTGTGTGTGTGTGTGTTTGAATTCTAGAGCCAGAGCTTCAGCTGCGGGTCACCTGTTTGGGTTTTGGAGCAAACGCCTTTCATTCAGGAAGGGTGCGGGTGAAGAGGCAGCTCCTGTTCGGGTGGCCCAGAGGCAGCCAGGTGCCATTTATTTATTTAATAAATAATCCGCTGCCAGATCAGATAGTGCAACAGAGAGAAAGTAGTTGGACAGCCGGCTGGTTGTGGGATGTAGGGTTTAAAGGTCTGCATGTATAAAGCTTTATAAATTTTAAGGGGGGGAAAAACAGAAGCCTTTCAAATGCATCGTGTCCCTTTTCGCTTAATGGCCATTGCTGGACTTCGTAGAGTTTAGGGAAATCCCCTTGGTTTACTTTCTGTTAACGATTAGGATTTGGTTGTGCCTTTTTTTTTTTTTTTTTTTTTTTTTTTTTTTTTTTTGGTGTGTGTGTGTGTGTGAGAGAGAGAGAGAGAGAGAGAGAGAGAAAGAGAGAGGGGGGTGGGTACTAGTTGAAGGGAATGGATATGGTTTCTGTTTGCTTTGGGTTGGTAGGCTTTTCTTTTGAACTACCTGAGAGAATAAACTAGGGCATTTGCTGTGGGCTCAGTTTACACCTGCGTAGAGGCGTTGGCTCTGTTCCCGTAGCTGCCTCTTTGTTTAGAATAGACCACAGGCTCCCCACTGCCTTTCACACCCTTTGAGCTGTTCTCACGTGATGTCTTTGTTTCTGCAGGTTCATGAACCACCGGGCCCCAGCCAATGGCCGCTACAAGCCAACTTGTTATGAACATGCTGCTAACTGTTACACACATGCAGTGAGTATGCGCTTCCTGCCCTTTCATCCTCCCAAAAGGCTTTTCAGGGAGGCAGGGGCAGGTCTCCCTAGTAACGTCCACCCCATTGGTTGGATTTACCCATCCCCGTGACCTTATCTGTCAGAGGATCAGTGCGGGGTCCTGTCACCAGAAACAGTGCTCTGACCTACAGTCTCCTCTGTCCGTCCTGGTCTTGCTTCCTCTGAGAAGGTCTTTAAAAAAGAACAATAGTAAGCACCCAAGTCAGAGACTGTCACCCTGGAGTGAAATGAATCGCCTTTTCAGGATAGTCAGCTGTGTTCATTTGGCAAGGGGAGCTCACCATTGGTTGATAAAGGTGCTTTTTATTTCTAAATGATCCCTGAAACTGGTAGCCACACCTTCCCTGTTACCACAGTGGCTATGCGCCTCAGTACATATTTCTTAAAAAAAAAAAAAAAAAAAAAAAAAAAGATATATATATATATATATATATATATATATATATATATATATATATATATGATTTTTAGAGAGAAGGGAAGGGAGAGGGAGAGAGAAAGAAACATTGATATGAGAGTGGAACATGGATTGGCTGCTGTCTGCACGCCCCCTACCAGGGACCAAGCCTGCAACTCCGGGCATGTGCCCCAACCAGGAATTGAACCAGCAACCTGTGGTGCATTGGATGACACCCAACCAACTGAGCCACACTAGCCAGGGCACAAATGTTATTTCTTGTTGAAGAAAGAGCTAATTTGATCTCTAAAGTCTTAATTTTCTTTCTTATAAAAGCAAAACATGCTCAGTATAAGAAACTTAGAGAACACTGAAAAATGTAGAAGGAAAAGAAAACTACCCAGAAATAAATGAATGCTTTGGTGCATTTCTTCTTGTAGGTGTAGTGTTTCTGAATATGTATGTGTTTGTTTAGTTTTTCTATTAATGTCCTATCACTGGCCTTTTCCTTGTGTCATTATACATTTCCCCTCTTCTGTGGTTTCATTATTCCCTTTGGAAGTCACATTTAGTGAGGTTTTAGAGGGGGGAAAAATGGTATCTAGTCTGAAGACAAGCAATAGAAAAGGAGACCAGTTTAGTTCTTTAGTGAGGAGTGTCATGTATGCTGTGCTAGTACAATACATGTGCCATTAGATTAAAATTCGTTTGAAGTCGAGTTGGGTACAATTCCTGGGCTCTGAATAGCAGGACCTGTTTCCAATACAACTGGCTACCTCATCCGGCTCTCCTGACCATTACCCAAGAAAGGCAATGTTTGTTCTAAAAGAAGCAACCTTTCTAAAATTACCCTGCTATGTTCCGAGGGGAGCCGCTCTCTCTCTCTCTCTCTCTCTCTCTCTGGAGCATGCCTGTGCCTCTCCCACTCCTATCCTCCAGGTCTGTCTCCTCGCCTCTCTCCTTCCCCTGAGCTCCCAGGGTCCTTATATTGCCTCTGTAACTTAGTTCCTGAGCCCGTTTCTTCTAAATAAACTTTCCCTTATTAAAAAAGAAAATTATCCCTGGTAATCCTGTGGAATTGTGACACGGCCTCAGTTCGGTGAGAGCAGGTGTTCACTGTGCTGTCCCTCCCCCAGTTCCTCATCGTCCCGGCCATTGTGGGCAGCGCGCTCCTCCACCGGCTGTCTGACGACTGCTGGGAGAAGATCACAGCGTGGATCTATGGCATGGGCCTCTGCGCCCTCTTCATCGTCTCCACAGTGTTTCACATGGTGTCCTGGAAGAAGAGCCACCTGAGGTACAGCCGAGCAGACGTTCTCCTGCCTTGCAGACTTCGTTATTATTATTATTTTTTAAAATATTTCTATTGATTTCAGAGAGGAAGGAAAAGGGAGAGAGAGAGAGAGAGAGAGACAGAGACATCAATGATGAGAGAGAATCACTGATTGGCTGCCTCCTGCACGCCCACTACTGGGGATTAAGCTCGCAACCCAGGCATGTGCCCTTGACCGGAATCAAACCCGGGACCCTCAGTCCACAGGCCGACGCTCTATCCACTGAGCCAAACTGGCTAAGGCCTGCCTTGCAGACTTTAATGCTATCCCATTACTTAGGAAGCTTCCTACGGATTGGACAGGTTTTGAGGACCCTCATGTGTGTCTAGCAAAGCGGGCCTTTGCTCAGAAACTAACAAAATGGCACTGCTTCTGGGACTGAACAACAAAACCTGAGACCCATTTGCCAGTGCCGTAAGCACACTAAGGCATTGCCGGGCACTGAGGCCGCAGGGCAGGGACCGCGAGCACTGAACTGGGAGCCCCCGCCCTGCCAGGTTAGCCTTGCAGATGTCACCGGATCTCAGGGAGCCCCCGTTTCTCCATCACTAACGTGAGGATAACATTGCCTTCCTCACCGGGTTATTGTGATAGCTGAACGAGACAGTGCATGTGGAAGTAAAAAAGACTGGGACTGAGAGGCGAGGCGGGACACAGCAGCTTGGGGTCACTGTCCTGCAAAGTTCAGCTTCCAAATTAGGGCCTGTGTGTGTACAGGTTCAAATACAGTTCCCGTGTTTTGCTACTATTCACTGTCAGGCACTTTCCAAAAACACTCTGGCCCCGAGCCTCTCCATGAGAAGGACCTGGAAGCATTCCCCCTCTGAGCGAAGGACTAATTTGGGGGGCCGCCAAGGGAGCGGCACACCGTTTAGTTGCTTATGAAATAGATTCTGCACAACCCAAAGGGCAGATTTCTTCTCCAAAAAAGGAGAATCCAGAGCAGACTTAAGAGTGGCTTAAAATAATATCACAACGTATCTTTTTGTTTTACAGAATGTCCAAAAATATCTCAAACTGCTCAAACAATCCAACATTAAAAAGACATGCTTTCTTTAAGAGTGGGACTGGGGGTGGTGCTATGTTATCGGTTTCCTCGCTTGTGGAATCATGGAAGTCACAGAGTTTTACAGCTGGATGGATCCTGAGGGATCCTCTAATGACCAGTGTTTCCCAAACCTTTGACATATGTGTACCCCTTTTATAATTTTCTAATGCTGAGTACCCCTCGTACTCATGAGAACATAGAATTAGGCGCAACTAAGCACGGTGCAGTGCATATCCCCACCAAACTCTGGTGAAACGCGTACCCCCACCAAACTCTTCCCGTACCCCTGGGGGTACGCGTACCACACTTTGGGAAACACTTTGGGTGACCCGTTCATTTTCACCTGGGGAAACTGAGGCTCAGAGATGTGGCTTGATTGGCCCGAGTCAACTATACCTGCAGAATCCCATCATCCCAGGGCTTCTGACTCCTAGTCCTGAGGTGCTTTTCACCCCATTCCTCACAATATTGCTGGCAGCATACAGCCTGCTACCTTGCCTGTCAGGTGACAGCTCCCGGGGCATAAAAATAAAACCACCGCTGAATCCCGAGGGAGCCGTAGACGCACTCGCAGGAGGCATCGGCAGCACCTGAGCTGGCCGCTCCAGACACACCGTCACAGAGCCAGAGGCCAGAGCACTTCATTATCTTCTTGGCAAGCCCCGCGCTTGCGGTTGCCTCAGCTGACTGGGCTCCGATGTCTGGATTTCTGAATCAATAAAGAGTTGTAGATGCCATACGTCAGTGGGTAGGGCCTCCCTGCCAGGGGCTGGAGAGGAAGGTGCCACAGACACCAGACTCTCCAGAACCGCGCAATAGCATTGCTAGGATTGTAACCCATTGGGCATTTCTGCCCTGCTTTAAATTTTTTTAAATATCCAAGTGTAATCTTAGTTTAAGTAAAAGAGGGAAGGGAATTATCATTCATCGAATACCTACTATGTGCTGGATGCTGTGCTAAATATATGGCTACGTTATCTCATTTAACGCTCACGCAGACTCCATAGAGATGCTATTATTTCTATGTTACATGTGAGGGTGGAGGATCTTGAATAAAATTTCAGGTCTGACTTTACCTGCTGTGATGGTGCATAACCATCCAGAGCAGCGATTTTCAACCTTTTTTCATCTCTCGGCACACATAAACTAATTATTGAAATTCTGTGCCACACCAAAGAATGTATTTTTTGCCAGTCAAACGAAGAGTGGGTATGGTTTTGATTCATTCACACTAGACAGCTATTGTTGTAGTTGGCTGTTGTCATTTTTTTATTTGTCAATCTGAGGGAAAAGAGGTCAGTGCCCCTGACTAAATAGTCAGGTGTTGCCCGTTTTAAAAATTCTTGTGGCACACTAGTTGAAAATCGCTGATCTAGAAAGCAAAATTAGAAAGGTCGAATCTGGCTAGGAATTGTATTCATCCAAGGAGCTCAAAAAGAAATAACCTTCTTTCCCTCCATCCTCCACCCCCATCTTCTAGCCCTTCTAAATCAGGATCTTCTGGACTGGAGTGAACACCCCTACTTCCAGTCTGAACGTTTCCTGGGGACTGTCTAACTCGGTGTTCTCTCCCATAGGACCGTGGAGCAGTGTTTCCACATGTGTGACAGGATGGTTATCTACTTCTTCATTGCTGCATCTTACGCGCCATGGTAAGATACAGCCTTTCTATTTTTGAGGAATCGTGTTTTTATGATAGAATTTCCCAGTCCTTTCTTCCCTTCTTCCCGGCCCCCAGGCATACACCCAACCCTTCTGCCCCCGACACACATACATACGTGCGTTATTTTATCATCTTGACGTACGTTGGCCAGATTGCAGATTTTAAGGGGAGAAAGCTGCTGCTGTTCGAGTAAGAGAACTAGCCAAATGCATTGGCTATTTAAAATGTCTGGTACTCTGATCCCTTTCCTTGACCTTCCTGCCCTTTTGGTATGGAGAGCAGATAGAATCTTTTGTTGCTTTGGAAACTGTAACTAAAGAAATATTCGTTTTCCCTATCAAGACGTGGTCCAGTTTTAAACACTCAGAAAGTCACATCATGCCATCGACTCCGGCAGTCATTAGAAACAGCCGGCCCCTAGACTCTGGCTCATGCCGCATCCATCATGCAAGAGAAACCTAATTATCCGCTGGAGGAAAAAGGAAGTGTGCTCTCTCCAGCACCTGTGACTAAATGACAGGTTTGCATTATATCAGAGAGAGAACCCTGACAATTTTAAATATAGGTGGAGGAATCACATCTTTGCAGTAGACAGTTGTTCACACGTCATCTTTGATACGTGGGTGATACTTTTTCCATTTGGAACTATTAATTTTATAGCACTAGCCCAGTGGTCGGCAAACTCATTCATCAACAGAGCCAAATATCAACAGTACAACGATTGAGATTTCTTTTGAGAGTCAAATTTTTTGAAACGTAAACTTCTTCTAACACCACTTCTTCAAAATAGATTTGCCTAGGCTGTGGTATTTTGTGGAAGAACCACACTCAAGGTGCCAAAGAGCCGCCTGTGGCTCTCGAGCCGCAGTTTGCCGACCACTGTACTATCTAATCAGAACAACGTGGGTTTTTTCCCCCCCGCATAGCCTTAATAGGAAATTAGTACAAATGTATTTGCAGCGTTTTAACATCCAGGCCTCACAAGAGCCCACGGTACAATGCTAATAAATGTCTTCTATAATATATGTCGGGGAATTCTTCTCATGTTCTCTCTTGGAAGAGAGACTGATAGTGGAGACGCTAGGTCTGAGTGTCAAGTATCTGCTGCGGTTATCTGATCCCCGTTCAGGGTTTTGCTCAGGGTTCCCGTTCAGCTTTGTAAGGGATCTGCTCTCCAATACTTCCTCAGAGCAGGAAGGCAAGCAGAATTCACAGCAGGCTGCCTTATAGGGCCTCCCAGGTGTGCTGGGACTCCTACACATCTCCTTTTAGTAACTTCTGTTCCTAAAGCACGTTGGAAGCGATTCTGAGTCTTAAAGGTCAGCTGACAATTTTATCTCTGAGTTATTCATGTTACCCAACTTCCCCAAACGCCTCCCTGGCTGGTGAGTGCCTCTCCTTCCTGTTCTTAGCCCTGAACTTGCTCTCCCGCCTGTAAGACTGGAGGACAGCACGGGTTCTGTAAGTTCCCTTCATTGACCACCTCTGTTCTTTGTTGTCATTTTCCATTTTAGGTTAAATCTCCGTGAACTTGGACCCCTGGCATCTCACATGCGTTGGTTTATCTGGCTCATGGCAGCTGGAGGAACCATTTATGTATTTCTCTACCATGAAAAGTAAGAGAAAATCATTTATATTTGATCCCTTTAAAAGTAGCCGCTTAAGTTTTATCTCCACCGCAATTTGCTCTCTCTGCACTTCGAAATAGTAGAAATACATAAATACAATAGAAAATACCTTGTTTTAAACAAATCTTCAGGACCGTGTTTGGTATTCAACGCCAGCGGGCAGATTGCTGCGGGAAGAAATGAGTGGCCTGGGTGGCGGGTGTAGGTGAGGGACAAGGTGGACTGCCACTGAGCCTCAATTGGACCTCATTGCACATCCTCAGGAAGACTGGCCTCACGAGCAGAACAGCCTTATCCCCTGAGATTTACCGTCACCACAGGAGAAAAAGAACTACTTCTGACAGTGGAAGAGAATAGATACAAAGTGCCCAGCACAGCACTTACCTAGAGAGGAACCTAGATTCCCTAAGAAGGAAGGGTTTGGAATGGCATCTAAACCATTCATATCCTAACCGTGGGGCTCGTGTTAGTAATTCATTATTCGTAGCCCATAGTCCTAAGTGTTAAGCAATATAAGAAGGAAACTTGATTGAAATGTAGCATCTTCGCTCCAGAGGGGACCTTCAAAGTCATCTGTTCCAGCTTTATGCTTAAAAATCGAGAACATTTAGGACATGCATCTAATTAGTGACTCACCGGGAACTGGGACCCCAGTGTCCTAGTTCCTAGGCCATGGCTCTTTTCATTGTTGCATATGCCCGGATTTGAGGAGCTCACAACCAAGAAATCATTGTCATTGGACACGGTTTATTAAATTATGTATCTGTTGTGGTTGGCAGAATGGTTCTCAAAGTTCACATAATGTCTGTTTACCACAAAGCATTAAAATATTTTCCCTTTTCAGAAGGGAATGGTAGTTTTTGCTAGCTTCTCTCCAACTCTGAAATTCACGTAAATGCTTTGTCCCCCAGAATTAGCAATTCTGAGTGCTATTATGCAGTATATATAAATCCATGGAAATAGTTTGCTTCTTGGATTCAAATTTTTAGTCTCTTTTTTTTTTTTAATGTATATTTGGTCTCCAGAGATGCTGTATATTTTTGTTATGTTTTTATTGGTTTCAGAGAGGGAGGGAGAGGGGTGGGGGAAGAGAGAGAGAGAGAGAGAGAGAGAGAGAGAGACATAAATGATGGGAAGAATCATTGATTGGCTGCCTCTTGCACGCCCCCTACTGGAGATCAAACCTGAAGCCTGGGCATGTACCCTTGGCTGGAATCAAACCCAGGACTTTTCAGTCTGCAGGGCAACTCTCTATTTACTAAGCCAAACCAGCTAGGCAACCTAATTTATATTCTTGATAAAATAGGAAGTAAGACAACTATCTTCTCCTATTGCAGACTTCCTAATGTAAACCAAACCTGCAAATCCCCCCTTCCCCAGTTCCCTCATAGGGTTCCTTCACGGTAGACTTTGAGTAGAAAACACTAAGAATGAGAGGCGAATGTCACTTGGCCATTCAGGTTGGCAGGTGTCGGGGAGGACCTTCCATGGTGCCAGCCCCAATTCTAATCCAAACAAAAATAAATTTGGCCCCTGCCTTTGAGGAGCTTCCGGTCTAGTTTGATTAGGCAGATATGTAAGTGCAGTTTCAACACAACTTCTGACGTTCCAGACATTCGATAGCCTAACGTGATGAGCCTTACACGTTGGAATTCTTGTGTGCAGATGCAAAATGGTGAGACACAAATACATGCCCTTCCTTTCTTAGGGCTGCTCTCCCTTTGCCACTGGTAGAAACCAGCCCAAGCTGCATCTCTGCCATCTGCATGATTTGTCTCTCAGAGCAATGGGCCACAGGGGCACTGCGGGCAGGCCCTCGGGGACTAGGAGGGAACGGGCATGGTGGATTGGATTCAATAGTAACTGCTCTGCTGGAAGGCATTTTTCCAGGGGCATGTGGAGGCTGGGGCCTTGTCAGCCCTATAGGAAATGCTAGCTCACGTTACTCAAGCAGAGAGTTTCCGTTAGAGGCCTACTGGTCTCCTACAGGGGAAATATATTTTATTTGATTAGTTGAGGTTACTGGTTTTTGTTGTTTTTTGAAAGAAAAAAACTGATATGGAAAGGGTCTAAGTGTTGTAGGAATAGACACATTAAGTGAACTGTGTTCCATCCTGCAGGTATAAGCTGATTGAGCTCTTTTTCTATCTCACAATGGGCTTCTCTCCAGCCTTGGTGGTGACATCCATGGTAAGAAATGGCTTCATAATTTTAGTTACTTCACCCTATTTCCTTTTAAATCTCTAGGACTCTTTACATGTCCATAGATAAGATATGTAGCTTTGCTTTCTGAAGTTACGATATGTTCATTAACTTAGACACCCAAACAAAAAAAAAGAGATATAAATTGCAAAGTGCCAGGAATTTGTACTGGCTACTGTCCATATCGTTTGGGAAAGTTGTACATTTAAGTGTGTTTGTTTCCCTATGTAACCTGCTGTGTTTGTTTCTTTCGGGTAACCTTTCTGTTCCTCCCACCCTCACTCACACTCTTCTCTTCACCCCACTCAGGTGTGAGATTATGTGAAGGTGGGTATTTCTCCTTGAATTACTTAGTGTCTCAACCTGAAATCTATGGAAGAGGGTACCTTCTGAAGTTCCTTACATGAAGAAAATATAAATTACTGATTTCTTAAATCTTAAGAATGGGAAGGACCTTAAAAGGGCATTTGGTTAATTTTTGAACTCCCTTTCAAACCAAATTACCACTGAGAAACCTACATGTAGCTGTCAATTTGAAACAAACACCTGTCATCACATCCTCCCAATCCCTACAACCTCCCCATCCCATCCAGCAGGTTACTGTGCCTTAGCTTCTGCACTCCAGTATCCTACCCTCTACATTCCTGCACTAGTCTCTGTGTTAACTGAGGAAGTCACAATGACTTCCGTTTGAACTTTCTTCTCAGCCTGCCATGGTCAGAATTGTACCTATAATTTCACTCCTGAGCTCACAGGCACAATTTTTTTCTTAATTTTTAGGGAGAGAGAGGGTGAGGGAAATGAAAAGGAAGGGAGGGACAGAGAAAGAGAAACATCAATTTGTTGTTCCACTTACTTATGCATTCACTAGAGGCCCGGTGCATGACATTCATACACTCAGAGGGCGTCCCTCAGCCCGGCCTGTGCCTTCTTGTAGTCCTGGAGTCCTCAGGAGATGTCCGACTGCCGGCTTAGGCCTTGCTCCTCACGGGCCTAATCCAGCAATCAGACATCCTTAGTACTGCTGCGGGGGTAGGAGAGGTTCCCACCCCTTCTGCTGTGCTCACCAGCTGTGAGCCTGGCTCAGGGCTTCTGGCTGAGTGGTGCTCCCCTGTGGGAGTGCACTGACCACCAGGGGGCAGCTCCTGCATTGAGCATCTCTCTGGTGATCAGTGCACATCATAGGGACTAGTAGTTCCACTGTTTGGTCGATTTGCATATTAGCCTCTTATTATATAGAATTGGTTGTTTCTTGTATGTGCCCTGACCAAGATCGAACCCACAACCTTGGCATATTGGAACAATGCTCTAACAAACTGACCTACCTGGCCAGGGCCAGGCACATTATAGCAATGCAGTTTTACTGTACGTAGTTCTGATCACAGAAATACCTGATGACAGTTTAGAGATTAGTTACTGGTTTGCTATGTGTGTGTGTTTTTCGCCCCCAGAGAATATGTCTTAAGAAAATGTAACAAAATATGCTCTTTGAGATATGAGTTGTATGATGGCTTGAACAATTTCCTAGTGCCAAGAATGTATATAATTTAGTTGCTAAAGGCAACAGGGATTGGCAAGGGGAGGGAGGTGAAGGACTGAAATGAGAAAATCTGTCTTGAAGATGCTAGAGTTAGAGAGCGATTGAGGACACCCAAACAATATAATAAGCAAGGTCTTATGTAGACAGTCATCAACCACCAGAGAAGTAAATTCCTCCTGGGTGTCATCAGAGCAGGTTTATCCAGTATTTTTATCAGCCTCAGTCTTTAATTGGCATTTTTCACACGTGGTAATGTTATAACCAGACAGGATAATCCTCATGCTTGCCCCCACAGAACTTAGAATCAAGCATGACATATGCACATGCTGTATGCTAGAATTGATTACTGGAGACCTATGTCATTTTATTAACTCATGCTCCCCTCCCCCCCAATTTAGTTTTATTTAAAAAGTTGTCGTTTTCTACAGCATGACATTCCCAAGATTCATATACTTGACTACTTCATGATTGGTTTTTCTTTTATTCTCTTTCTGTTTTCTTTATTTCTGTGTGTTTTCATGTTAAAGATGAGCGTATAGAACATTCTGGAAGTAATAAACTGGGATAGAAAGGGATACCTCTGATAAAACGTTTATTTTGAGAGGACATTTAGCAAAGCCTGGTGCTTAGGGCATGGCCAGCCGGTGTTGCCATTGCGTTGGCCTGGGCCCGTGAGCCCGTGCAAGCAGGCAGCTGCATTAGAACTTGCCTATGCTCCCTGCTCCGCTGGCCCCAGGACCTGCCGCAAGGCTTAAAGGCCACAGCTGTCAGCGCCAGGCCTCTCGGCCACCCACACGCCCGTCCCCTTCCAAGGCCTTGCCACCATCTGGTGAGGTTTCCGCCTACCCTGCAGAACCCAAGACCTTTCTGTCTGGTCCCCAGGAACCCAGGGGATTGAGCTGCTTTGTCAACTTCCTAAACCCGCTCTGTTCTCATTCATACAACCCCGTTTGATCTTTAAGCTTCTCCTTGTTGTGCTAGGTCATACACGCCTGTTTCCTTCCTGCCAAGCTTGGAAATGTCCAGGCTCCAAGACAAAAAGGCCTGGCCATGTCTAGGTTAGGCAGGGTGTTGTACTATATGATCCTGGGTCAGCCATAAGGAAGTCGTAAACTCAGAGGCACGGAAAAGTCTCGGGAAAGCAATCAGTGTAGAGCAGGGCTTGAGGACAGCGGGAAGTGAAAATGCTGGCGAGGCGTAGATGACAAATGGAGTGCATGGGCGCCTTAGCAGGAGGAAAGCTTTTAAAGGGGAAGATGAAAGCCAAGGATTGTTCTATATTAAAAGGAACTGCCGTGCCCTAGCCGGTGTGGCTCAGTTGGTTTGACAGCGTCCCGTAAACCGAAAGGTTGCGTGTTCGATCCGTCAGGGCACATGCCTGGGTTGTGGGCTCGATCCCCTGTGGGGCAGCATGCGGGAGGCAATGTTTCACATTGATGTTTTGCTCTCTCCCTCTCCCTTCTTCTCTCTCTAAAAATCAATAACAACTTTAATAAGTAAAATGAACTGCCATGCCTGGATGCGGTTGCCATCTGCTGAGACACCCTCCCCTCTCCCGCCCAGTGAGCAGAATGTGCTGCTCTGCACCATGGGACCCGTGATCTGATTGCTTGGTTGGGTCAAGACATGCCGCCCAAAGGGTGATCCAGGTCGATGTTGAGAAACTCGATTTATAGACTTGGACGCTGTCTGTGTAGAGAAGGGGTGTCGAACTCAATCAGAGAAGGGGCCAAAATCTAAAATCCAGCCTAAATCGCGGGCCGAATGGTTTACTGAACAGTCATAAACTGTCATTGTGATGGAAACGCAGTGGAGTGCAGTGATGACAGCGCGGTGCGGGCCACATTGCAAGGCCTGGCAGGACGGATTTGGTCCGCGGGCCTTGTGTTTGACACATGTGGTGTAGAGCTACCGTATTTTTCGGACCATAAGACGCTCCGGACCATAAGACGCACCAGTTTTTAGAGAAGGGAAATGAAGAAAAAAAGATTCTGAAACAAATAGTGTCCTAAAATATTTTATGTGCATTAAAACCCAACATCACAGTCATAAACACATGTAATCAACCCTGTAAAGTAAACAGCAGCATTTAGAACCATTTTAGAGCTGGGCAAGCACACAGAGACCACACAGAGCCGGGCAAGTAAAAAAACTTTTTATTTAAAGTATATGTGTAGGCTATATTTGGACCATAAGACGCAGGGACTTTTTCCCCCCACTTCTGGGGGGAAAAAAGTGCGTCTTATGGTCCGAAAAATACCGTACTTTATTGTCTAGAGCCCTGGTTGGCAAACTGCAGCTCCCAAGCCACATGCAACTCTTTGATCCCTTGAGTGTGGCTCTTCCACAAAATACCATGGCTTGGGCGAGTCTGTTTTGAAGAAGTGGCATTAGAAGAAGTTTAAGTTTAAAAAATGTGGCTCTCTTGCCCTAGCTGGTTTGGCTCAGTGGATAGAGCGTTGGCCTGTGAACTGAAGGGTCTCAGGTTCGATTCCGGTCAAGGGCACATGCCCGGGTTGTAGGCTCGATCCCCAGTAGGGGACTTGTAGGAGGTAGCTGATCCATGATTTTCTCTCATCATGGATGTTTCTATCTCTCCCTCTTCCTTCCTCTTTGAAATCAATAAAAATTAAAAAAAATAAAAATAAAAAAACTTGGCTCTCAAAGACATTTCCATCGTTGTACTGTTGATATTTGGCTCTGTTGACGAATGAGTTTGCCAAATATCAACAGAGGGGGGCTGCCCGTTACCCTCTGCAGCCTGTCGCCTCGGTAACATCGACACCCCTCCCTCTGCTTCCTGTGCCCACAGAACAACACGGAGGGCCTGCACGAGCTGGCGTGCGGGGGCCTGATCTACTGCCTGGGCGTGGTCTTCTTCAAGAGCGACGGCATCATCCCGTTCGCCCACGCCATCTGGCACCTGTTCGTGGCCACGGCGGCCGCCGTGCATTACTACGCCATCTGGAAGTATCTCTACCGCAGCCCCACGGACTTCGTGCGCCACTTGTGACGGGTCCGCGCCCGGGGTCCGCAGCAGTGTTATTCCGGCGATGGCGCTGGGGAGAGGGGCAGGAGCTGCATGCCGCGCGGGAGGAGGAGAAAGACAACTGCACTGACTCTCTTTATATATAGTCTGACTGTCATTACTGTGAAAGTATCCATGCTGTGTTCTGGAATGTTCCAGAACGAATCTTCCGTTAAGGTTAGTGAATTAATGACTCATTCCATTCCACTGTCACGCAGGACTCTGGATAGGCTTGGCCAACCGATGTTTACAAACCAGGATTTTGTATTTTGATTTTCCAGACTTTTACTACTACGTGGGTTTTTCTAAATCGCCGGGCCGGGTTGTCGAAGTCAGCGCGACGGCAGGGCTTCCTTTCCAAGGGAAACTCGTTTCTACCCCCTTTCCCATCGGCTGTGTAAGAAATCATGGGCAGACCTTATACTGCTTTCACCATGTTTCACCCTGACACAACATGGCTCTTTTTTAAACAGTAACTTCGTTGTTTTGTACATTTTTTTAAAAAACACGTTCCATGGCCTCGCATCTCCACGGGTCCGCGCCCACGTGCATTCTGGCAGCAAGCCGTCCACATTCCACCTGCGAACCAACGTTGTGCCTCTTCCGATGGGGTCACGGGGCCTGAGAAATTGCCAATTTTTAAAAAAAAATACAAAACGCAGTTTTTTCCAGCCGTTTTCTGCCAACCGCTGACTCCCGGGCTGCTCTGGGCCACGTCCTTGACCTAGTTTGGTTTACTAATGATGAAGTATTTTGATATCCCAGTAACGTTTCCAAAAGAGGCACCTTTTTCTCTGCGCCTTTGCCCCGTTCTCTCCAGGGTCCTCCCCAGCCTGTGCTCTCCTGTCGGTGGTTGGCCATTCCGAGGAGCAGTAGGGATTACCGTCCACGGTGGCATTGCCTCTGGTGCCCGGCGGTGAAGTCACTGTCACCCAGCTCTATCTTACCAGTGTGATGCTCATTTTCAAACTGTGGAATTAGATGCCCGAGTTCACATGTCTGCCTTTCTTCTCTATCTCCCCATACCCTTTCCCCCCCTTTCAGGTAGACAAGTATTGAAAGCATGGATCTGTAGTCCATGGGTTATATCCTGGCTTAGTGGAGTGGTATTTAACATATTACCTTTGGTTTCCCCTCAGTGTCTTATATTAAGATGAACACAGTAGCTGCTTTGTTGATTAATCTCCTTTTGGTGTGTTAATGAGTGGGATGGCCTTGCCTTGAGATCAGGTGCCGACAGTGTCTGTTTCCTAGTAACGGGTTTGGTCAGCCCAACTGTTGGTTGGATGAGATATTTAGGCTTCTATTGAACTTTTGTACTGACACAGCTTTCAAAGAGAGTTTATTTTGTGTGTGTGTGTGCGTGTGTATTAAGAATTCTCCGGTTTCGGTGAATTATACAGGATGAGGGACAGAAGAACTGATAATTGGTGGCTCTTACAAAGGCGAGGTCATCCTTCATCGCCCCACCTGCATGAGTCTCAACATCCAGATGCCTGCTGTTTTATTGTGTATATTTTATTTTTAATATTTTAACTTCTGTGGATTCCTTTAAAGGTTGCCCCACTGTACCACTGTCAAAACCACTAAAATGTATGTAAAAATGTGTGCTGTAGCCCAGAATAAAATTGTTACTTGGATTTGTTCCGCCGTCTCTAAGCTGGATGACTGAACATGAGTGTGCATTTTTGAGAGCCTGAGCTTGTCTGCATTTGTAACCCATGTACCAGCCTTTTTCTGAGAAATCATGGTGGGAAGAAAAACAACTTTCTAGTCCACTTTTTACTAATTGGAATGCCAGCACCAGCTCCAACGTTAACCAACACACATTTTCCGTTTAAAATACACTAGTCAGGACCCAAGAGTGTCAGTTTTATAAACGATGGACCTTGAACAGCCTTTCGGCTTAGCTCATATAATACGCCAGAGGACCGAGGTTATAGGCTGTGGAGTTACCAACCAGAGGTGCATCGCCCCGCAGGCCTGACAGCTCTGAGTGTAAGACGTCCTTCTTTCCCTCCTACCAAGTAGGAAATTGTCTGGAGCCGGGACAGGCACCAGGTCTGTCCAGTTCCAAAGCCCACTAGTCACCACACACCATGCATTTCAGTCAGCAAAAGCAAACGCATCAAACCACTGGATCGGAAAATTCACCGGGCAAGCACGCAGAAAAAGGAACATGGTTCGTGCAGTCGGAGCCTCCATAAGCCCTCAGGCAACTGCCCTGACATCTGATTTCAAGGACAGTGTCGCGAGGCATGGTGGTTCCCCAGCATCCCAACAGGGGCCCCTTACTTCCGTCTAAACAAGCAAATGTCCACTATCGCCCTGCCACCTTCAGTATCTCCTGGAACTTTTCTGAAGGTCAGACCTCTCCCATCAACAGCCCCCACGTTTTACTCAATGGCCCCAGACTAAGTCCATTATCCTTTGTTACCTTCCCATCAGGCCCATTTATCCATCCTTCCTGGATTTCTGCCTCACACACACCCAGCCCGGCCAGCTCCGCCCCAGTCACAACTCCCCAGTCTGGTTCCTCACCGCCCTCCTCATTGCAAGGCTCAGACTATTGCTGCCACCTCCTCCTCGTTTGTACCTTTGCCACCGGTTACACCCCTCTGATGTGCTCATCCTCCCCACTATCGGCGTTACCTTCCTAAGAGAATCTAAGCAGGACTCCCTGCTTTAAAAACATCCAATGCTCAGCTGGCAGGGCTCAGTGGTTGAGCATCGACCTATGAACCAGGAGGTCATGGTCCAATTCCAGTCAAGGGCATGTGCCTGGGTTGTGAGCTGGATCCCAAGTAGGGGGCATGCAGGAGGCAGCTGATCAATGACTCATCATTGATGTTTCTATCTCTCCCTTCCTTTCTGAAATCAATAAAAAAAAAATATTTGAAAAAATAAAAATAAACACGTCCAGCCCTCTTAGCATGGTCTCCTCCCATCTGTAGCGACCACAGGAACGTTGGTGAGAAACTGGCGTGGGTACATCGGTGGGTCCCAAATAAAGCTCATTTACTGAAGCTTCCAGAGAACCAACGATCAAGAATGGATAAGCCTGGGAAATGATCTTGACCCCCCTACTTCCCTCCTGTCCTCCTTCCTGAACATAATACAATAAACTGCATCCAGTTCTGTAATTCTCGGGCCTTAAGGCAGATGGTACTCAACGACCAACTTTCATATAATTTTAAACATTTCATATGTTTTGCTCTAAAATATATATATGACATTTTGAAAAATGGAGAACAGAAACACGAAAAATGACCCTGAGTTCACTCATCCCAATGCATTTTCATGTATTTCCTGTCAATTTTCCTCCCTATCCTTATGGGATTGTTGTGTATTTTATATTATACATTTGTAAATATGCCATACATGTAATTTTACATACTGCCTTTTCCTTACTCATGTTATCATCAGCATTTAAAACTATTATATCATTTTCTTAGCCGGAATTTTCCGAGCCCCCATCAGCTTCCTGGACTGGATATATGCAGCCTATTTTGCTTATTCATTCACTCAATTCTGGATTTCTATATTGTTTTCCATTTTTCCTTCTTATGAGCAGTGAACACTTGCATAGCTTTGTCCGTGTTTAGGATGGGGTCTTCGAGGCAATCATAGACAACCGAGTGCTTCCTCTAGGGGGCGCTGTGCGGGTGAGCATGGATCTCCTCACCTAATCTTTGTAACAAACCTGATGGGTAGGTCACTCTATGACCCCATTTTCCCGAGGAGGAAAACGTACCTCTGGGGCTGTTACCTTGTAGAGGAGGGTGGCAGAGCCAGATTGAATCCAGGAAGCCTCGAGCCTCCTTTCATTCTCAGAAGTGCAATTCCCGGTCAGAGGTTTATGAATGGGCTTACCCAAAGGAAGGCCTTTAAAGATAACACCTCATCTCACCCCAAACCTCCATGTGTTTATTTGGTGTCCAGGGTTATGTCCACGCTTTTCATGGGCCAATTCGGTGCAGAGGGCAACAGGAAAAATCTCCCGGTCAGACTGACCCTTCTTCCTCCCAAAGCCGCAGGAGCGTTCCCCAGAGGAGCCGGGGAATGTTTTTAGTTTCACGAGGTTAGAATTGCTGCATTCATGTCTTCCTGCTGCTTTTGCTGTTGTTGTTTTTTTAATTATTATTATATTATTTATTATTTGTTTTATTGTTATTATTTTTTTTTATTTTAGAGTGAGGAAGGTAAGAGGGATTGAGAGAAACAAACATTGATCAACTGTCTCTTGCATGTCTCCCCCTGGGGATTGGGACCCACAACCTGGGCATGTGACCTGACCAGGAACCGAACCGGCACCCTTTGGGGGGATGATACTCAACCCACTGAGCCACCCTGGCCAGGGCCACCTTTGCTGTTTTAAACAGACAGTGCCAGCGTGCTCTATGCTCCGCGCCATTCCCACCTCCATCCCTGCCGTGTCACGTGTAGCTGCTTTGGGAGGCGCGTTAAGCTCTTCTCACCGGCAGCCTCTTCCACGCGACAGAACGCGCTCAGCCTCCTACACAGCTCATTATCCATCCCCCTGACTTTCCTTAGGCTGACACAGAGCTGCCAGGCCTCATGGGGAAATCTGCTCTGGAGCCTTACCTTATCTCCCGGGAGAGGTCCCAGGTCCCCTTGCCGTCCGTGGCAGGCCAAATTCGGACGCCCCATCCAATGTCCCTGCAAAAGTCAAGAAAATGCATTGAGCAAAAGGATCTGGTTCTTTTTAAAAGGGAAAAAAAAATTTTTTTTTTAAATCACTAGTGTTTTTTCTGAATCCCATCTGGGGGCCGGGTGTTGAGTGGGCGTGGCACCAGTCAGCCTGTGGCAGATGGGCCGGGTGAGCTCAGGCAAGCCCCTCATCACCTTTGAGCCTGGTTGCTGTCTGCAAAGGGGCGCGGCTCCTCCCTCCCAGCGCAGCCCTCGGATTACACAGGAAGCCAGGAGTGTCTGGTGCATGCCTGCTGCCCTGGGATTGGCACTGGATAAAGGTTAGTGCCTTCCCATATGGCCAAGCTTTTAAAGTTACCGGGACAGCCCACCCACCTGCAGAGCTTTTTCTTTTTAAATATATATTTTTTTTACAGAGGGGAAGAGAGGTATAACATCCATGAGAGAGAAACGTGGATCAGCTGCCTCCTGCACACGCCCTACGGGGGATGTGCCCACATCCAAGATACATGCCCTTGACCAGAATCAAACCTGAGACCTTTCAATCTGCAGGCTGACGCTCTATCCACTGAGCCAAACCAGTCAAGGCCTGCAGAGCTTTTTCACCAGATACAGCCTGAAGGAGCTGTTGAGGAGCACGCTTTGAAAAAAGTCTTGTGTTGTTTCTAGCTCTTCCCAGTGGCCTGGGATCAAACTCCCCCAAGGCTGCACTGAGGCCTTGGTCCCCGCAGGCTTTCTAATGGTTTAGTCTCTTTTGTAACAAATGCTCTTTATTTTTTTTAAATATATTTTTATTGATTTCCGAGAGGACGGGAGAGGGAGAGAGAGAAACATTAATGATGAGAGAGAATCATTGATCTGCTGCCTCCTGAATGCCCTACACTGGAGATTGAGCCCACAACCTGGCGGGCATGTGCCCCTGACCTCTTGGTTCATAGGTTGCTGCTCAATCACTAAGCCATGCCGGCCAGCCTCAAACACTCTAGTATCTCCTGAGACAGGCTGGGCACCCAATGGAGAAAGGGTAGGAAGGGGGGTTTGCTGTAACTGGACCCTCATTCTAGGCAGCAATTTGGTCACTGTCTGTCATTACATGAGCAGCCCCAGAACCACCCTCAGCGGTTTGTTGGGGTCCCCTTGTCGCACATTCATTCCGCAGGATACAACTGGGTATCAAGTATGTGCCAGGGACTGGACTAGGCATTGGGGATGCTATAAGGACGATTTAAAAAAAGGCAAAACCTGAGCCCATGGCTCAAGCCAGCCAATTCCCTGTCCCCAGACCCTTCCTCTGGGTTTGAGGCCTTGGGGAGTTTTTGCTGATCTGCTCACCACTCAGGGTGCTCCCTGCAGACCCCACCTGGATTCAGCTCCTGCTTGGAGAGCCCCGAAGAGGCTCACTGAGCACAGGGACCCCTGGGCCTCTCTGCCCTGAGAATGAACCACACACCCTGTTCGTTCACGTGGGCCAGGTTCCTTTGAAACGGGGTTTTCCTAGCCTCCCGGGCCAGGGGTGATGAATGAGCAGCTCCTGTCTAGATGTTTCCCTTTTTGGTGACAGTGCCCGCCCGGGCCACCTTTCGCCCCTCCATCATTCTCAGCAATCCTGGGGTGTGTCCCCACCTGTTCCTGGCTGGGGATGCAATCCTGGATAAAGCAAGTCTCTGCTTTCCAGGTTCCTACAATCTCTGGGGAGGAGAGCTTGGGAACAAATGAGCAATTATGAATGCGACACATGCCCTAACCGGTTTGGCTCAGTGGATAGAGCGCTGGCCTACAGACTGAAGGGTCCCAGGTTCGATTCTGATCAAGAGCATGTACCTTGGTTGCGGGCACATCCTCAGTAGGAGGTGTGCAGGAGGCAGCTCATCGATGTTTCTATCCCTCTTCCTTCCTCTCTCTAATAATCAATAAAATATATATTTTTCAAAAGATGCAACACAATCGCAGTTTTTGTGTTGGGTGCTGTTATTG